AAAAGCCACAGAGACAGACTTCTCTGGAGAGAAGGAGCCCAGAGCTGGGAATCCGATGGGGGAGTTTTGCTTGTTGTTTTTATGGTCTCTGAATTTCCTCCTCCCCATTCTGAGCGTCCCTCACTATTATTGGTTGGGGCCCCCTCTGTCCACGCATCTGTTTTAGTTTTTCTACTTGATCCCCCATGTAGGAGCAGGAGTCCAGAAGCCTCTGTGTGATTGGGTCCCCTGTTGGTGTCCATGAGCACTCTCATCAACCAGGAAGTTGACCTCATCAGAAGACCCTGCCCATCTCCTTTGTTCTGGCCCTGCCCCGACCTCCTCACTCGCCCTCCTGCCCTGGCTGCCTAAGCCCTTCTACCTCCCCTCAGCCCCACACTTGTTCTCCTGCAGTCTTTAAGGCAGCCAGAGGGCCCTGTCAAAGTGTAAGTTTTGCCTCTCATTTCACGCAAATAAGAGCCTGGCCAGCCACTGCCCCAAGGCCCCGTGCTGTGGCCCCTGGCTCCCACCTCGTGCCCTCTCCTTTCCATCTCTGCTCCTGTCACACTGGCCTCCTTGCTGTGCCTCCCTCGGGCCTTCACCTGGACTGCTCTGCCCCAGCTCTCCCCGGGCCAGCCGCTCTGACTCTTTAGTTCTTCACCCAAAAGTCACCTAAGAGAGGTCTCTCCTGGGTGCCTGATCAGTCCATTCCAACTGCAGTGGCACAATGCCATAAACTGGGTGGCTTTCAAACAACAGAAATGTATTACTGATAGTACCAGAGTCGGGGAAGACCAAGTTCAAGGCCCCAGCAGACCAGTTATCTGCTAAGAACTGCTTTCTGATTCTCTGATGGCGCCTTCTAGCCTTGTCCTCTTCGGTAGAAGCAGGAAGGCTCCTTTCTCTGGGGCCTCCTTAATAAGGGCACTGGCCCTATTTGTGATGGCTTAGATATGGTTTGTCCCCCAAAGATTCATGTGGCTGGAGGCTTGGTCCCCAATGCAATGGTGTTGGAGGTGATAAGACCTTTAAGAGGTGGGGCCTAGAGGGAGGTGACTGGGTCTGGACCACCCTTGGAAGGGGTCAGTGTTGGACTTGAAGAATGGCTGGGGTCTGACAGGAGCAGGTTAGCTCCTGTGAGAGCAGGTTTTTATAAAAGGGTGAGCAGGGACCTCCCTCACTCTTGTTTCCTCTCATTCATATTCTCTCTCTCTCTCTCCCTCTCTCTCTCATGCTCCAGCCACATGATGCTATCTGCCATGAGGCCTTCATCAGAAACAAATGTGGGTACCACACACTTTGACTTCTGGAACTATAAGCTAAATAATCCTCTTTTCTTGATAAAGCACCCAGACTCAGGGATTTTGTTATATAACCCGAATCAGGCTAAGACACCAGTTTCGAAGGCTCTGCCCTCTTGATCTAATCACACATCACATCCTAATGCTGTCACTCTAGTGATCAGGTTTTCAACACACGAGTTGGTGGGGACAAACATCTCATAGCACTGTGCTTTTAAATGTCACGCCCACACTTCCTTCTTGCCTTCCTGCTGGACTTCGTGTCCCCTTATTACCATGTTTATTTTTATTGTCTGTCTCCTCCACTAGCATATACACTAAAAGAGGGCTCCTGCCCTTTTTCATCTGCTCAACAAAATATCCCTAGAGGTTGGAAGAGTACCTGGTGCACACTAGGCCCTCAATAAATATTCATTGCATGAATGAACAAATAAACCCTCTCCTCCTCCTTATCACACTTTTTGGTGCATAAGTAAAAAAAACACCATGATCCACACAGAAAATAGTTCAGCCAGTGTGCAGTGGCTCCAAATTCAGTGTCAGCATAAATACACTTAAAAATATTTTATAACATCCCTATAAAAATATTATTATTCAAGACAGCAAATTCTTCTTTAGAGTACTCAACAGACATTGGATATTTTTTTTTTTACTGGCAAACTGATGGATGAGCACACAAGGAAATAGACAAGTTGTCATTCAAACCTGAGCTCTGTTTTGCACCTGAGTCTGTCACAGTGAAGACACTTCATACAGCCACTCGCGTTGAATAACAGTGAAAAAGAATCAGCCTAAAACTGGGAATGGTACAATCTTTCTGGAAAAGCCTTCTGCAGGAAAATCATGTCAGAACTAGCTGCACAAATCCTATTTGTAAAGAGAAAAGTGTGATAGTGAATTGGTGAGGGGAGCCCTGGGAGGAAAACTGTTGGCTGTCAAACTCCGCTCTACCAAAAAGGGGGGTGCAGGAGAATAAAGGAAGTATGTATGTTGTAACAACCCAGCTTTTGCAAAGTCTTATCATGGAAGGAGGAAAAGAGGGCCCATAGTAAGCAAGAAGATGCTTGAATGAATGCTGCCCTTAACTGACTAGCAGTCTTTATAGAGCCACTAATAAGGACAATGAGATGTCATCAGCCAGAGGAACTGGAGAGTAAAACTGAGATCAAATGATGATTTCCTAAGATCTCTAACACATTTCATTTTGAGCCAGTCACTGAGAACTCTGGGCAAATTTTGATTGTTGATTTTGAGTATCTGAATAACTTGGACTCCCCTGAAATACCCAATAGACATTATTTACTTGGGCTTCGGTGAGGCACGTTATTTAAAAGCACATGACATTCTTATTGTAATGCCAATTTGAACGTATTGGCCAAGAACATCTTTAAAATGGGTTAAATCCTAATAAAAGCATCGTATAGCAAGGATGATGGTCAATATAAAAAAAAAAAAAAGGATTCCAAAGGTTATTTTGGAAATTAAACGACTTTGAAAGTCTTTGTTCCTGATAAGACAAAAGAATGAAATGAACTGATGGAAAACTTGGGGAGCCATCATTGAAGGCGCTCAGAACAACAGGAAAGAGTAAGAGGAAAATATCCAAGACCTCAAAAAAGAGGGAGAAAGGGGATCTAACAACAACAGATTAAGTCTAAAAGGGTAAAGGAAGCTAAAACAAATATTCCCTGGGACAGAAAAACCCAGGGAGACCGAAGGCTAAGCAAGACCCAAAGGCTGCCGTGGCCCGGATGTGTGGGGAGAGAGCAAAGCAACCCAAGCTTCTTAGAAGAGGACCCTGTGCAAGTCCACACCCTGGACTCCACATGGGACTTCTGAGCAACACAGACTAACTCAAAAAGAACAAAATGTGGGGAAAGAATCAGTCGTTTATTTTCATTCTTCCTTATTGCATCAAGGATTTTGAGGATGTTGAATGGTAGAATTGCAGTTCACATGGTCTCTCCTGGCTCTGGGACTTTGCACACAATATGTGTGTGTGTGTGGGGGGGGGGGGGGCTGGGGTCCAAACTCAGGACCTTGTACATGCTGGGCAAGTGCTTCACCACTGAGCTACACACCCCAGCCCTGGTATTATAGTTTCTATGTTTAAAGACGTAAGGTTTCCCTGCCCGAAGACACTTAGGAGGCTGATGCCCTCTCTCATGGGATCAGCTGTACCTCAACACGTATACCAGTAACCTTTCCTTTTAAAACCTTTAATTCTCATATCCTAAAGTATCACCTCTATTACCTACAGGAGAATTCTTTCAGCACAAAAACTAGAAGCCACATCCCTTACTCTCTAGAACAATGAAGACTTTTCTTTTTTCAAAAAAAAAAAAAGAGAGAGAGAGAGAATCTGAAGGAAGAATCCAAAATATTCTTAGGTGAGAACTAAAATATCTTATGAAAGCAAGTTCTGGAAATGTGGACTCTGTAGTTAACCTGAAAATCCAAACATTTCAAAGAAAGAACAAGTTAGTAAACTAGTTAATATAGCTTCTCAAGAAATGTGAATCATCAGTTACTAAATTTGTGCAAATGTTTACCCATTATGGATTTTCACCCCTATAGCTTGGCCATTTACAAGGCAGTTATTTTAAGCAAGTTTTGGTGTATTTCTACTTTTCTTTGAAGGAGTTGAAGGAAAAGAAGTGACATGAAGCCTTAAAGAGTTTCGCACCTCCTGTCAATCGGGTTCCCCCCTGTGTGCTCTCCCCTGCACTGGGTGACTGTCCTAATACCATGGCATAAGTGACAAAGGAACTGCACATGTAGAAGGGACCAGGAGAGAGTCCTGCCAGACACCAGTGGTCAGGATGCTGGGGCTGAGTCAGGGCTCAGCAGTCACAGACAGACCTGTTGGACCTGACCTTAGAGAACGCCCCCTCTGGCCACCTCCTGTACCCCTCTCCCCATGAAGTGGGAAATCTGTAGAACACAGAATGAGCCACCAGAGCCACCTACTAGATTATGTTGCAAGTAGCCAGGACCTGGCTATTTTCTGCTTAAGCAACCCAGAGTCAGATTCCTAGGGCCTGTGGCTCCTCTCCCCAGAGCTTATCCTCCTGAAGATGCACCTGGCCACCAGCACGCAGACCCCTAGGCCCAAGTGGTGGCCCAGGTCAGCTGGAGGTACGGGATGGCATGTGCATAGCTGAGTGGCGCTCCACGGAGTAAGACACAGATCCAGGGGCTGTAAGGAGCCAGGAGTGTGAGGAAGGTCCCTCCCCACGGCCACGTCCTGGCAGTGGTCCAACCCAGCTCCTTGTCACTCTGAAGGAAGAAAAGCACCATGGCACCTCAGCCAGGCCTGGAGTCGGCCCCCCTCACATCAAACAATCTCACAGAACCCCAGCCTCAGTCAAGGCCAGGATGGAACAAGAGGAAAGCAAGGCCACTCCGTCATCACGTCTGAGAACAGAACTACAGCAGCACGTTCCCAAGCCACCATAATGAGCCATCCCCCTTTCCTGGTAATGCGAGTGACCTCTGTGTCTTTCCCCATCACAATGTGAGCCCTGCTTTGTCAAAGCACCCAGTGCTTCTGGACAGCACCCATTCATTCCTGAGCACGGTCACGCTCCTTGAACCCTATCCAAACCACCCAGTTTCACCCAAACCCTCTGACAGCTCCTACCTAACTCCCTCTGACTGAGAGGGCCCACCGTCCCCACGGGTGTGGCCTCTCTCACCACAGTGAGTCAATCCACTCACCTTTGTCCCACCATAGGTGTGTTCCTGGTGGTCTTTGCCAGGCGGACACCGACAGGTATATTTGTCAAGGTGGAGGATAGAACATAGAGTGCTTAATAGTGCCTAAGTTTGCTTTACGATGTTTAAACACTTAACCATATGACGTACTCCACTTGGACTCTCACCGGCCCCAGCCAATGCACCAGCAGGCCTGTCTCTGAGGTGGGGCTTCGCATGACCATGTGCCTCATTGTGACTGTGTGCCTGGAGAGCAGAGCCATATCCTGGGGGGAGCCCCTGGACAAAGGGGCATTTGGAGAGGTGGTCAGAAACGGACAAAACTGGAACAGGAGGCAAGGTTGAGAAGTTGGGAATAGTGCTCCAGTGTCCAGGAAAACCTTTCACAAGGTCAAATACAATAAGGCTATGACCATGATCCTTTGATAGGTGCCAGTTTGTAGATGACCAGAAAGGACAAAGGATTCTACAGATGGCCATGGCCACTGATGCTAACATGGGCCAGGTATTCCAGGGGCTGCCAGAGAGGAAGCTCTTTGGCATCTGGATGGAGGAGCTGACAGCTGAGTTTCTAGATCAGATGATCACAGAGGCAAAGCCTGCTAAGTATTAGTGGTTCTCAACCTGGAGAAATCCCCCCACCCACACTCTCATGCCCCAAGAGACATTTGGAGATGTCTGGAGACATTTGTGCTGGTTACAACTTAGGTCAGAAGGTGCTATGGCCTAAAGTGGGTAGAAGCCAAGGTTTCTGTTCAGGATTCTACGGAGTCCAGAGCAGCTCCCTGTACCACAAAATGCTCAGCCCCCAAATGTCATTCATGCTGGGGTTGTGATGTCCCTTGCCTAGGCCAGGGCATCACAGCTTGGGCCCAACCTGCACACAGTGAAACGTGGAACATATATGTTATATTGAGGTTCTTCAGGGGACGGTCATCAGAAGTAAAGGGAAGCCACCTCCACTCTGGAGAGGGGACGCCTATTTTAAGTGATGTTGCAATCATTTTCATTAAGGTTATTGTAGATGAACCTGAATAGATCCTTCAGCTGGCTGCCATGGAAACCACGAAGGAGGGAAGGCAGTCAAGTAGCCTGGGTCACGTGGATTTAAAGAAAAACTTTTGAAAGTACCTCACTAAAGAATTTCTGGAATGAGAAGAAGGATACATGATTCAAGGTGCTTATGAATTCCATCTGAGAAGCACATGCTAATCAGAAATCATGACTGAAGGCCAAGGGCGAGCAAAGGAACCCTTGCTCCTTCCTGTTTTGCTTGGGTAGCTCAAAGGCCTGCTTGGAACCAGCATCTCACAGCTCAGGCTTCCAGTCCTCCTAAACTGAGTTATTGCAAAGAGATAAGAGGACTTGTGTATTTATCTTAGCTAAACACGATCTCGTTACAGGCTCCTCTCCCTGTTCTTTCCTCTACTATCCGGAGCTTCTGTTTATGCAAAAAATATAATCAGCAAAGATTCACAAAGATTTCCTTGTCTATTGAAGTGGAACGAAGATCACAGTCTTCACCCCCAAACTCAACTGGGCCCCCATGTTCTTGCTCAGATAATTAACTCTCCAATTAAACTCTGATCTGGGAAACAGGGCCACAGAGCCCTTTGAAACACTGGAGCCAGAAACAAATGGACATGGTTTCACAGAGAACACCCTGTTCCAGGACAGTCAAATATAGAAGCTTTCAAAGCCAAAAAATTCACCGAACCTCCAGGGTGATTTATTTTACAATTTAGACAAGCTTTAGGATACAGATTTTTAAACTCATGTATTTTTAGGTAAGCCTCCCTCCTTTCAAAATTCTCCCTAGCTAGTGACCATAACAGGAAGCCCATACTCTCTTTGCAGTACCAATAATGGTGAATAAAATGGAGAGAGTGTATTTCAAACACAGTCTCCAAGATACGTTCAGGTATGCAATTGATATTCTTTATTAAAAATAGTAACTAATCTTCACAGCAATAACCAGGACAGACATCTTTGTTGAAAGTGAGAGTTCAGATTCCCAGACTTGAGAAATCAATGCAGGGCAAGACGGACCCGCACAGACGTAGAAGAAATTCTGGTACCAGTTCACAACATCACTAAGTTTGGGCTCTTCAAGAATAACATCTTGGGGCTGGGGCTGGGGCTCAGTGGTAGCATACTTGCCAGGCATGTGTAAGGTACTAGGTTTGATTCTCAGCACTGCATATAAATAAATAAAATAAAGGTCTATCAACAACTAAAAATATATTTTAAAAGATAACATCTCATCAGCAACTTTACCGAAAGCAAAGATTGAAGTGAGATTATCTCTGGGAATAAATGTGATCAAGACAGCACAGTTTCTATGTCCACAGTGTAATGTTCCAGCAGGCATTACGCATGCTTCTATAAGTGGGATCTGTATTTGAAAGAAGTTTGGAATCCATGGGTGGGTATAGCAAGAGTTGGTACACTGGACCTAGACATCCACCAACGTGAGCTCTAATCCATTGACTGCATGAATGTTAATCTAAAGCTCAGCCCTTTCCAACCTATGCTTCAGGGTTCTTCTCAACAAATAGAAATAGGAAAACACAACCTGTCTACCATCATGAGGATGTTTCAAAAAACTCAAGAATCATAAATTTTTGGTTCTGGAAACAGAGGTCATCAGGCCCCTCTCCTCACTTTACAGACGAGGCAGTGAGACCCCAAAAGTGACTGACTGACCAAGGGAAAGCTAGATAGAAGGCAAAGCAATCATGCTGGAATCCACAGTTTTCTCCTGTACCCTGTCCAGCATGGCAAGCTAGTCACGCCTAGCATAAAAGGTTATTATATAAGTGGGTCAAAGATGCCCCCTGTGGATTAGTCTCACAAGTGGTTTGGCTTGGTTTTGCTTTTCTTTCCTTTGCATTCTGAGACCCACTAGCCAAAAGCCCACTGGCACCAAACTCAATTTTTACACGTCCAGCTATTTTTAAAATGCCCCAACAAGTAGACTTGTAGTCACCGAGAGCCCCGGGTTTCACACACTGCTCAAAACCTCACCCTGCATCTGTTGGCCTTTGATAAGATACAGTCTTGAGGCAATGAGGCCCTAAGTTACTACCATCCCCGGGGTTCTCTGACCCAGAAGACTCCCAGCTGGGCAGCTACACAACCTCACCAAGACACCTAAGCCCCATCTTGGATCCTCTTCTCCTCTGGGCGTTCCTTATCTTCCTGCCCTTCTGGATGCCGGCCTCCCTGCAAACACCGGATATTCTCATGTTGTGAAGGACTAACTTCCCTCTTCACACTCCTGCCCAAGCATCACCCATTAAGCTTGTGTGTGTGTGTGTGTGTGTGTGTGTGTGTCTGTCTGCCTCTCCAGGTCATCTTGGTTCTTTATCAGCCCCCAACCTTCCAAACTCTTTCCAAAGATATAAATGTACCTCGAAGAAAGAAACTTGAACTATGCTGGGGATCCCAGCATGGGCAGACGTGGGGAGCAAATGTCACAGACATGTTTGTTGCCATCATGAAAACAAAGCAGGAAGTCAAAAGGCACCCCAAATGTCAATTTCCTGACTCCCTCTGGGTCTTGTTAATAGCATGCAGCTTGGTGACATTGGTACATCACAGTCTTGGCCGTGGTGGATAAATCCCTGATAACTTAACCTGATCAAGTTTTACACTTCTTATTCACAGACATCAAATAAGAGATTAAGGAGAAAGTCATATAACATAATGGCACACGTGGCCACAAAACACAAGCTCTGTCCCCTTGATATACAGCTGGAACACCATAATGAAACTCTGAGACTCCAGGATGAATCAGATTCACATTACACATGGTTGTGTCCCAAAGGCAAAACTGCTTTAAAAACAAGGCAAGGAATTTCAGTTTAAAATTGAGTGCTTCTTATTTTTAAAACTCAAAAAAATAGAATTATAGCCTTCCAAATCTAAATGCGTGCACTTTTACAAACAGTGAAATCCCATAAAACTGTTCAGCTTCCTTAGCTACCTTTGACAAGGAAGAATAAAAATTGCCAGGTGACTAATTAGAACTCTTCTTATTAGTATTTGCCATGAGAGTGGAAAGAGGCCACTTTACATTTTTAAAATTCTGGTTTTATGAAATAAAAAATGAAGTATTTCAAGTATGTTTTCCTAGTTTGGGCTACTAAAAGAAAAAAAAAACAGGGTTTCCCTAAAAGAAAAAAAAAATCTAAGCTCTAAACTTAATTTCACTTGATTCAGAGTTACCACATTTTGAGAAAAATTAACACTTGTATCCTATATATTTTTGCACAAACTAATGACAACTGTCATGGATTGATTAAATCTATGCTGGGCACTACACACAGGTATATGTGCATGTGTTTGTGTGTGTGTGAGTGTGTGTGTTAGTTGTAGAGGGACACGGTATCTTTATTTTTTGATGATGCTGAGGATCGAACCCAGTGCTTCATACGTGCAGGGCAAGAACTGAACCACTGAACTACAACCTCAGGCCTACACAGAGGTTTTAAAATACATTTACACACATCTTCACTAAAACTCAGCAAGGTAGGTGCAATTATTATTCCCATTTTACAGATGTGGAAACTGAGGCTTAGGATACTTAAGTAATTTGTTTAAGATCAGGCATTTCCAAATTAATTCAACCTGACCCTAGACTGAACCTATACAGGAGATAGTAGCTACATGTACTTATAGCCCTTGTGGTTCCTCTGAAGTAAGATGTATGATAATACCATCAGCTCGGAAGACTGAGGCAGGAGGATCACAAGTTCAAAGCCAGCCTAAGCAACTTTGTGAGGCCTTAAGCAACTTAGTGAGATCCTGTCTCAAAATAAAAAAATAAAAATTAAAAAATGGCTGAGGATGTGGCTCAGTGGTTAAGCATCCCTGGGTTGAATCCCTGGTATCAGGAAAAAAAAAAAATAGATGTATGGTGAATGTAAAGTACACATTTTGTTTTGATGACTTGTAGGAAGAATGTAAAATAACTCACTGATATTTTTAAAATATTCATTACATATTAAAATAATAACAAAAATTGAAAATATGGTATTGAAATTCATTTCACTCGGTTTTTCTTTCTCCCCGCCCCCCCCCCCCCATGCGCCATGTG